TCATCGTGCACGATTCATAATACGGAAGTCGATAAGAGATTTCCAAAAACAATCTGGAGTTGCCTGGGGTTTCAACCAGGGATGGCATGGGCTTCATCAGGTTGGCCAAGGTAACAGATGAAGGTGCAGTCCTGTAATTTCTTGCTCAAGCCACTTGTGGTGGAAGAGCCTCCTCTAGACGGGAGCTAGAGAACATTTTCTGACGACTATTCAATGCCGATTCGGACGTTTTGGAAAAGGTGGGAGTCCCCACACTTTACCCCACCACACACAACCTGCCCATTGGCTGTGGGTGAACTTAGGCAGCGGGAGAGGCGGTTGAGATTGAATAATTTTGCCAATTTCAACTGCCCTGTCGGACGATGGAATCGAACCGGTGACCGCTGACTTGCAAGCCAGGCGCGCGCGCTGACCATTGCATCACAAAAGCATCACCTCGCCTGGGTTCCAACCGTCTTGCAAAACACCAGCCTCACGAGACACGACTCGATGTGAGTCTTCCAAAATTAGCCACTCGCCCAGCGGCGCGGTTGCCCATCAAGTCCCTGAAAACAATGTCAAAAACGAAACGCCGCCGAAGGGCGCTTGACAATGGGCTCCTGAATAATCCCCAAAGACGTCAGCATGCCGCGTTGCCAGCTTGTGCGATTGCGCGCGTGCCTCTTCAAAATTGCGTTCGCATGTCAGTTGCGAGTTGGATGCCAAAAATAACCGTGTACGTTCAAAAGCTGTCTTCTTAAACAAAATATAAAGCACTGCCAGCGTTGTCAATATATAGTTTTTTTTAGAGATGTATGTTAGGTAAAGGTGCAGCCCTGCAATTGCTTGCTCACGCCACTGCCGACGGAAGGCCCTCCACGAGAGGGGGTTCGAGAAAGCCCATCTCTTGCGGTTCCTTGGCCTGCCGATCGACTCACTGTGCTCTGTTATTTTAAGACTGTTGAGTGGACAGAGCGGGAGGGGGGGGATTTAAGAAACTCGCACCATTGTGTCAACTGGCACGCCAGGAGATCGAATCGAGGTGGCGACCTCTGGATTAAGTGCAGTGTGCTCACCATTACACCGCAGCAGCATTCCATACAATAACACATTGTAATACACTGCCTAATAAGTCACTTTGTTTGATACAAATATATAGTCGTGTACAGTTTTTTTTATATATGTAAAAGTTCCCCGTTGTTATATTCGCAATTTCGCACAGACTTTGACGCAATTATTCGTGAGTGATAACAAACATTAGGAACAATGTTCATAACGATAGAGTTTCAAATATATGTTGAATGAGCGAGTCTGTGAATTACGACAGCACAAATTGTGTACTTGAACGTCGGCTTTGTCATAATCACTTCCCTTTAAACTTGAGCCACGTTGTGCTGGTTACGGCGGCGTTCAACAGTTAAGATTTGCAGGGAGCCAAGCTTTCTTTTAGATCACGAAAATAAGTTGTAGACCGAATGAAAGAAATGAACAACTCGCCTCGCGTGCGCGCTTCCGGCCTCCGGCGCTGCGTGAGCAGAGCAATACGTGTCTTACTCACGTTGTCTCTCTCTCCCTGTTTGTGTCACTGCCGTCTTCGAGATGCGCATGTCTGGGACGTACGCAGCAGTAGCAGAGACGTGGGACCCCAAAAATAAACCCCCCACCGGTTTTGAAATGAGAATGCAGCGGATGACTCACGTCTGTGCGGAATTTATAAAGCCCAGGGTCAGATCGTGATGGGGCATGGACGCATGACGGCATTGAGAGTCTTTATATTTCTTAATCAACCCATTATGTCAGCATTAAACACAAATTCACGAAAAGAAGGGGGGGGGGGGTTGGCAGGTCAGTACCGTCAAAAGCCCCGTGTCATCGCTAACGCAAATAACTTTAAAGAATCCTACACAAACTCCATACCGAAGTGTGGGTTGACTCACAGGTAAATGTATCGACAGCTTGGTCACATCTAAGGAGATGACTCACGTGACCTGGCTTAGTCACTTCTGTTTCCCGGCACAGAATACAATCTGAACCCCGCGTAAGCATTTACAATTTATTTTGAGCGTTCTCGATGCGAGGTCTATCGCGGTCGGCACACATTTACAGTTGTCACCTTATAAACGAAAGTTAGTGATATCACAATGCTTAATGCTAATTTCAGTCATACGATCTCCTGCATGTTGTCTTGTAAATGTGTTAGCCATGTGATACACGGACACAAAAAAAGAGAAATGTAATGTCTGTGAATTTGATCCACTATCCTAGTTGTCATCATCATCATCATCACCGTTCTTACTTATTTTTACTTGCTTTTATTTATCGTGGAAAGCCACACTGAATTGTAGAACTCGGTTTCAGGAGGGTCCTGCAGTGGGCTTTCATGTTAAAATATTTTATTGAGTACTCGAATTGTAAATGTTGTGTATTTACTCTCCAACACACCGGTGTGCTGAACTGGTAACTAATTGGCATGTTTTGTTTAAGTCACAAACTTGACTAATTTGCTGTGTCAGGTGGTGACGGGTTTAAAGACGCATTTCAATTCACACTATCTAACCCAAAAGCTTTTTTTATGGATAATGAACGTTTATTTTTATACGTGTCAGAGGAAATTGAAGCACCCGGAGAAACCCCACCCATGCGAGGGGGCAATGCTCTATCTCCCATACAGAGGGAAACAGATGGCAATTAGACCACTTGCTCTACTGCCTTCTCCTGGCAAGCCAGGGTATGGCACATCCTCGATGCACACAGGAAGGGAGCCTTGCCGTGTATTTTTTGCGGTAATTCACCAACCCTCGCTGCCTCCACAGTGCCGGACTACAGGCCACGTGCAAAGCCACCACCACCCGGCTCTTTGTACCACTCAAGTCCTCAGCAGAGTCCATCCTGCTTAGCTTCAAAGATCTGACGAGATCAGGGTCCCGAATTTGGATGTTTGGCCAATTTCATTGACGAGTGTGGCGTGTTGGAGGAGAGCAGAGTACTGTGAGGAAGACCATGCATATGAGCAGATACCACCTCAAGGCTCTACACAGGTAGATTCAGAATCTTTATTCAGACCGAAGCAATCCGATGAGCTTTGAAGCTCTTTTCACAGATGGTCAGTATGGGCAGGTCAGCAAGTGACACCAGCAAACAATACAAACATACACGCGATAGGAGTGCAAGATAGAGACAAAGGTAAGCAAGTCACAAAATGTAAATACGTAATAAATGTGTTGATTATTGAAGTCTGATTTCTCAAGCTTGGGCAAGGCAGTAAAAGAACAAGAACACAGTCCCAGACCACACCAAGATAACACCACGCAGTAGTAGTCCCTCAACTAAAATGGCACACGAACATTGAGCTATCATATACAGGTAAGGATCAGAGTTACAAATCGCATTCGCAAACATCATTGTATCCAGCGCCGAACTTCCGCTTCGGGATAAACATTTTTTTTAAGGAAGATTCAGTCCACTCACCCCAGAGCCCAGTTCGGTTTGAGAGCTTCCTCAAGCCGTGTGGGCTCTACTGGTGCTCTGATCGACACAAGCGCGTGCCACCACCACCGCCACCACCAACCCGGCACCGTCAGCGGTCAACAGGGCTGGCGGTGTAACCGCGGTTCCCGTTAGATTCAACCCCGCGCTACTTTAAGGGTCCTCTTGGCCAATTTGACGGCGAGCATGAGCCGGATTTAACGGTGAGGTGGCTCGACAGGCGGTGTCCCACTCGTCATCAATTCTCGCACGGCCGCGATGGCGCGCGTGGTTGGGCCGCCGTCGCTGCTGCTGCTGCTGCTGCCGCCGGCGGCACGAGCTCTGAGCCCGTGGCAGGACGTGCGGCGTAGGCCACACTGCCCCAGCCACATGGCTCACCGTCCGCCGATTGGCCACATCAGATCCCATATCGCTCAGTGGCCCCAAAAATAGCTCCGTGGGCAACAATCAGACCCCCTACAACGTAATGGATTTAATTCGAATAAAGCTTAGCTGATTTTTTTTAATATACACATCATCGTCAGCCATCGTCTATCCACTGCTGGATGAATGCTTCCCCATGCCGTCGCTGTTTTTGCTGCTATGATCCATGTCACTGCTGCACCACGAGCTCACTTCGTCGCTCCATCTCCGTGGTTGTCGTTCCTCTGGACGCGTTTTCTCCTTCATCACCATTCCATCGCCAGTCTCAATTCAGCGGCGATCATCCCACTTCCAAATACCTGCACGGTCAAATCAGTGCCGCTCTGTGCTCATTTCAATTTTTAAAACCACGCGGTGGAAATTCGACAGTTCTATGACGAGGGTCAGTTTTTAATCTACGAGAACCGCAGTTGACTTCCCACAAATGAGTACACCATTTTATTGGCCCCATAGGTGTGATGAGTTGAGTAGACACCCTTTACCACACTGCCACCCAGCTATAGATGTAGATGCGCAATAATATGTTTGCATTTTTATTCTACATCGAATGTCTCATGTCATTGGCAGTCAATTAAGTGGATCATGTTTTGAGGAATGCACATTCAACTTGGCGGTGCACGGCGTGGGTTAAAGAGGATGGCAATCGTCGCACGGCCATGTCCACGCTCCTCAGCAGCCAGGTTCATCGCTGAGCGGGGACTTGCCAAGGGTTAACGCTGCACTCTCCCTGCTCTCGTGTGAGAAATAATAGCGGATATTGAGGCTCGGTGTGTCCATAAAAGGACATCGGTCGGGCGACGGCTGTCGAACGGGTCATTGCTGTGAGGCTGCAGAGCCATATCCGTTATGCAAAAATAACGCGTCTCTGCGGACGTTGTCTGCGTGTACATTTGTTGCCCATTGAAAACGAAGATTTTTGCAAAAGGTCCTTTTGATGCTTCGTGTCTCTTTCAAACTTTTTTTTTTAATATACAAACGCCGGACTGCGCGAGAATTGCATTTGCGAAAACAACAGGTGACGTGCAGAGAGATTGCAATCGTTGAAACCATTCGCACACGAGGGAGCATGCAATTTGTGAATGCAAAGTATTTCTCCCTCTCTTGTTTTGCAGAGCCTTGGTTCAGTGGATCGCCGTGATAGTCAGCTAAAGAGGTAAGCGATGCTTTTTTTTGCATTCATCAGGAATACTAAGTGGTCAGCGTGCACACATCGGTGTGCATGCATGCATGCATTCATGCATCGGATTTCATCTCTGCGTGCACAACTAGCAAGGATTGCCGCCAGCCTTTAGATTTCGCCCTAATTGATACAATCAATATAATGTTATTGTTGCTGCAAAGATGGGATCCGAGTGAAAAGATTAAATTCGTCTTTAATAATTGCATGCAAATAATAGATCTCTGCGAGCTTGTACGATGTGATGCATTGCAGCAAAGCAATTGCAACTGTCACGGCACTAAAATCCATGCAGAATCTGTGTTTCCTGGAGGGACAAGGCATCAGTGGCAGCACGATCAAAATTAAATGCCACGAGCACGCGCCACATCGTCTAGAACATTGTGTTCTTCTCTCGGCAGTCGATGCACCTATGAGTGCGCGCGCGTGTGTGTGTGTGTGTTCAGGGATGCGTATTGTAGCTCACGTGCATTTTATCACGCGAACATTCCTTCCCAATTTGCTAATTGTCTTCTCAATGGCACTTGGGAGTCGGGAGCGGTGGCACAGTGGTGGGCGCACCGCACTGCGAACCTGACCAATAGGAGTTTCATTCCCGCTCATGGCTAACATCAGTAGTGCTCGATATTTGTATTCTCTCGTGCTGGGGCCTCCCCTAGGTCGACTCAGCCTTAAATTAGTACCTGGTGCAGTGTGTATACATCAGCACTGGGATGGGGGCGGGGCTTGATGACAATCACACCACAATTCCCTCGTGTGCCATGCCAGCCTGAATAGGTGTTCACTCACCAGCACTTTCCACTAACACTCTATGGCTATAGGGGGATCTTTGCTGCATGCGGCTAATGTGAAAAACAAAAGAAAACCCGCTAAACATTTCTACCCAATTTGCGAATTGCCATTTAATGACACTTGGGAGTCGAGGCATTAACAGCTATCAAAGTGATGATCCCCACACAGCTGTGACCCAATGGCAGAGTACAACGCCCTGCATTGTATTCTATGCATAGGGACACAATTAAAAACAAATCCTTTTTCACCCCCCCCCCCCCCCCACTGCCAGCCCCCTCCCAAAAAAAACCCCATAAAAACTAAAGGGTAAAATGTCAAGCAAAAAAAAGAGACTTACTGGACAGTTGGGGAATTTGTAACCTTTCACTGCATAAGTTTAGGTGGTAGAAAGGAAATTGATTTGAAAATCTATGGAGATTCCACATGAAAGTATTCGGCAATAGTGCTCAATATTTTTCTTCTCTCATGCTGGGTCAACCTTCACTTTACCTCGCTCGCTTGACAAGGTTGGGGGGTTTTCTTCTTCTTCTTCGTGAAATGACCCGATTCCACTTGTGAGCTGCAATAAATGTTTATTTAATTCATTTAAAGTTTCGGTGAAATTCCTTTAAACGAATGTCGCTATTTAGTAATCGACGCGACGCTTCAGGGCCAAGGGAATGCAGCTGTCGCTCGCCACTGATGTTCGCCCTGGCCCCTTGTAAAATTCGGGTCGCCTGTTTCATAGGGTAGAGCATTAACCACTACACCACCGCTCCCCCAGAGTAATATTTTAGCACACGCCTTTTCCAAGTGAGTTAGACATATGAATCGTCAACAATGCATGTATGTATGTATGTTGAACTTCTTGTGCATTGCAGCACTTAGCCGTGCTTTGCCAGCCATGCTAGAGCTCACAAAACCTAATTGACTTATTGGTTCTCTAAAAAAACGTTAAACACGCGACGAAACTTTAATCACACAACAATGATTATAGGCACATTTTAAAATTAAATTCAGCAAATGTACAATGAATCAAAAGCCAATGCAAGACTTGTTGAAGTCACCTCGTCCTACCTGTAGTCATCTAAATCCTGACGGGTCTCAAAGTGCTTTGCAAATACCTGGCATGCAACCAGCGCATGTTGACCAGCATTAGCGGAATTAATTTTGAGGTCAGCCAGTTTCTTTGTTCAACCGAGTAAGCGAACACCAATGGAGCCCCTTCCCCGCCGAGTGTTTTGGGTGCACCCTGCAGCTTTGGAGGCGCGGGGGGAGGTAGTTCACAGCTCCTCCTGCAGGGCGCTTATTGCAATATTTTGAGCGTAAACACTGCCCGCGTGTGAGCTGGGAAGCAGCGCTCTGAGATGGGGTGGGGGCATTAATCATTCGTCAGGGTGGCAGGGGGTCGTCACAAAACTGATGAAATACAACTTTTGCTGCAATTCTAAACGGCTGTGCAAAGCCCTTTGACCCAAGTTAAATCGGGGGGATTTGAGCAAATGAATTAATTCTTATTTGAAAATCGTATTTGTAATATATTTTTGTTGTTCATAAATGCATTTGTTTACTGTCTTACACTCTGGCACAAGAACACTGCTTGGCTTGGTATATAAGTTGGCACAGATCTCCACGAGACAGGAAACCGAGTGATGGACACATTTTGCGCCTTGCCGATGTTGATACACGCCCCTACTAAATCTGTCATCTTTTCTGAAGCTCACTCGCTTTTCTCCACTGCACCAAAGGTGACTCCTTGGTCATTATGCGTTGTCCCCACAGTCAAGTTTGTTATTAGGCTCGGTCAGTAAAAATGTACTTAAAATTGCACGGATTCCAATGGAAAAACAAATTCATCACGTGGGCTGTAACGCAAATTTTCATTGGCACGCCCTGAATGGCCCGCATTATTTCAGGAGCAGTCTTTCAAGTAGTCGGGGATCTATTACTTATTGAGGGTGGTTAATTTAGCCATGACGCCAGTACACAATGGTCTACTCTTGCAATGTGGGATCTTTAATGTCCTTAAACTGATGGCATAAATGCTTCATGCATAGGGTGCTTGTGCACACCACGCACTTGCCTGTGGAATTAACAGTCTGGTTTTTAAGTCGGTGTTGTTTCAGTAAGACACATTTTAATAAGACTTCTTGCACAAACAACTTAAAATATAAATTGCTGGCATTCCAAACACCCTTAAACATTTATTAGCTTACTTTAAGTTTGCAGTAAAGCAGAATTTCTTAAATGCAATATTATGACACGACAAATGCATATAATTAACCAGAAATTGTTTCCAGTAAATCTGAGTGGAAAGTTCTGGAAATTGTGAAGAGACATTAATATCCCAAGTTGGAAAAAGGCTGTCATGCTAAATTAACCAAAAATACTATTTTCCAGAAAATGTAGTCCAAACGGTACCGTTTTTTTGTTCTCTCTCTCAAATTTGATTTGCAAAATCTTGTTAGCATTACACTCCAAGAACATTGGAGTGTTGTCAAAGCTTATCATAGGCCACTTCCAAATATAACAAATTCAATCACTCACACGTTGTACATTAGTCTCTTCTAAAAAATATAAGCCCCAATAAAAACAAGATTTAGAAGGTTTTGGTAAATTTTAAATTAGATTATCATATTCCATGTTAAAATTCACAGTGGCGTTTCTATTTCATTAAGTTCTCCTTATTCTAAGTGAATATTTTACATGATAATTTATGATAAAAAAATCACCTCTCAAAATTGTCCGTGACTCCCTGCTATGGGAATGGGGAATTTCCACGACTGGCTCAGAACCGTCAATTGGGAAGGCTGGTGACCTTTCACTTGCTTGAGCAGGAAGACAGTTTGACTTTGAATCGAATTATGCTGTAATCGGTAAGCCGATCCGAAGCATTTTAATTTCATACCATGTTATATTTTGCAAATCAACTGTAATCTTCCGTCAATAGAAGGTCAAACGAAAGCGATGCTCTTTCTTGTATTTCATGAACTTTACATAATTGTGACATGGAAAGGAAATGGCGCATTAAAATTGCAATTGTTACATGCAAATGTGGCCAACGCTCTGAAGCGCCGTGTGTTAGCAGTCATAATGTAAACACTGGGCCGTATTTTCCGACATCAATAGGAGAAATGCAACGATGGCATGCCAGTGCACACGGCCCAGTCGATTGTATTTGTAAGTTACACGGGGCTGCTGCGACAGTCGAGTTGAGCAGCGCTGGCAGAGGCAAGTTTAACCCCTGAGCCCGAAAGACGACTGCCCTGAGCAAACATTGTCCCCAAAAGTCGAGTTACATAGCCACGCAGCGTGTCGCCCACGTGACGAACACACGTTCATTAATTACGGCAATAATTCACCTGCAAATTCGTTGCAACCTTTGTCAAACGTTTTCTTTATTTACAAAATGGCAATACAAAACTCGTGTTTGTACCCCAGGACTCTGGCAGCCGAAAGGCTCTGTGCCTCATGTTATGTTTTGTCCACGTGCATGCATTTATTATTTACAAATGTAATTTGCGCATAGTATACATATGTTACTCTTTATTTATTAAAACTTCTATTAGTTTTACACAACTATGTTTAATGTTTATAGAATGTATTTCCTCAAATAATATTGGCGGTCTGTGCTGCACTCATTAGCGTAAAAGTAAATTTATTTTTATAATAATGATTCTTTACATTTGTAAGGCACATTTCATCCATAGATCCCAATGCACCCCGTGCACAGAAAGCATGAAATAAATAGAACCAGGGTGAAACGGCCAGAACTGTGGGATGAAGGCCAAATTAAAGAGGTAAGTTTTCAAGACAAACTTAACTGGCTCTGTTTAATACGTAGGCTTTCGTGACCAATATTATCCATAATACAGGTTTTTTTTGGGTTAGATCGCGTAAATTTAAATATGATTTAAACCTGCCACCACCCGACACAGCCAATTAGTAAGGTTTGTCACGTAAACAGAACATGCCATTTAGTTACTAGTACAGCACACCGGTGTGTTAAAGAGTAAATACACAACATTTACAATCTGAGTACGACGTTTCGGCAATAATTACAACGAGCATCATCAGGCGACAGCCAAATCTGGCTTTACTTTCCAACATGGTGTACTGTATTAGTAACAAATTGACATGTTCTGTTTACGTGACAAACCTTCCTACACATTTATATTTACGCGATATAACCCCCAAAAAACGTG